AAAAAAAAAAAAAAAAAAAAACCCACCCCACTTGCATTTGTGAGTATCTATGAACCAACCAACTCACCCCCTATGAACCTCCTTCTGGTAGCCAAGCATGGTTCCAAAAGAAGGCTTGGGTAAAGTGATAAATATTCTTTCTGAAAAATAAGTGATATATAAACCCCTTCAAAAGAAGAAAAAATGATAAATAATTGTGCTAAGAATAGTTTTGAGGCTCAGATCTGTTCGTGGTGGGACAAATGATCTGCAAATGCGTTTGATTTTTAATTATGTATTTGTGACTCATTTGTAATTTCTTGAAAATTTTGGGATTGTGATTACAATTGGTTCTTTATTTTTTATTTTCTTTTCATTTTGTTTTATTAAAATAGAGGGGTTATATTCATCATTTCATAGTTTTTAATTAAAAAAATGAATAAAAATTATGATTTCTGCAATAAAAGGTGTAAATAAAGATGAAGATGCAAAAAATATATATATACATAAGCTGGGGACGCTTTGCCCAATAAACTTTAAACGTATAGACGTTTTATGCCAATAACCATTTAATTAATGTTTATTCAAATTCACATAGAAATGTAGAATTAACTTAGATCCTGTTTGGTAGGGATTAAAATCATATTTTTAGTAAATTAAATTTTGATAAAAGTTGATGAAATGTGTTATTGAAAAGTTGTGAAATCCGTGAAATATGTGGTTAAAATTCATTGTTGATTTTGACATGAAAGATTTTAATCTTTACCAAATAAGGGCTTAATTTTAAATAAAATCAATTTGAACTTAAAAGAGGTAAATTGAATCAGTCAGTCTACAAGTACAGAAAAAATGTGCAGAATTGATACAGAAATTTGAAATCAACAACACAAATTCAAAGTTGGAAAAAAAACACACACACACACACAAATTCACAAGATGCTGCACCTGTAAAAATTCTGTAATTATTCCCTGTACTCGATGAATAATTCAAATTGAATACGATGAAAGAATTTGACTAGGTACACATAATTAATTTTTATAGAAAATGGTAATTGAGATTAGGGAGTTAGTTATGGTGAACTCATCAATTCTAACATTTAAATCATAAATAAAAAAATCATTTTTTTTTCTTATTTTAGTATATTTAAAATAAAATAAAATAAAAAATAACTACTTCAACTTATTTTGAATCAAATTGAAATTAGGAACAATTTAACCAACTGTTAGATGATAGTTCTTGTGGAAGTGTTAATACAAGCTCTTAAGCCAACTTTATTACTTGTTATGATTCATATATTTGTGGAATATGAAATCAACAACAAATCACGAATCACAATTACTCAACAACTGAAAATCCCTATTCAAAAATAATGGATGTTCAACCATGCGCACAAGAAAAATTCTGTTGTAAAGGGAAA